TTTCCAGTATCAATGCAAATAGTGAGATCTACAATATGAGTCACACAGTTCACTCCCCGGGCCTGTGCAACCAAGTGAGCTACACTCTAGTATACAGGGCTCACTTTCCAGTTTTGGGACATACAGCTCACTCCCTAGTATACATGCAACCAGTTAGATCTACAAAATATTACACACAGTACATCTTGCAATATTTGTGCAACCAGTGAAATCTACACTCTGTTACACACAGTTCACTCGCTAGTATCCATGCAACCAATTAGACATACATAGCCTACCTGTGGCAACCATTGAACTTCCTCTTCAAACTACATAAACCAACTGCATCTAAGTTAATGGTGGAGGAAGCAAAGTCATTTCAATGTCACTTTATTCTGTTCTACAGAATTGCAAATCTTGTAGGAAGTGTGGGGTTGTTACTTCTTTGCTACATGAGAATCACATGTTCACAGCAGCAAATGCTACATCTCTATGTATTCTATTTTTACACCAACATGTGTGAAGGACTGGGGGTACACTCATGTGGCTGGCTGGCTTTGATCCCCTTCACCATACCTATTGCTGTGTCTCTGCTCCACCCATCCACCACTCTCATCACTTTTTACTATCACTTTGTCTCTAGCACCTGAAGGACTATTTAAACCACTGTATCATACACAGTATCTTTTGCTTCTGTATTACACACAGATGCATTGGCTAATGTAAGCCCATGCACCCGTGTCTGCAATTATATCAAATAAATGAAACAACAAAACAGAAAATGAAAACATACATGATTACATACTATGGATTACTGAACTAAACCTGCAGCTGGAGGATCAACACTAGCGCATGACCACCATGAGCCAATACAAAAGAAGATTGGGAAAGCAAAGACAAATGTGATAAATAGCCATTTTTTTTATATTGTAGGCCATTTGTGTAGCTGGTTGCCCTGCTAACGAAATCCCAGTAATTGCTGGTGCTATAACCTTCTGAAGGTCCTGTATCTGATTATATAAAATGCAGGTCATTCTGTTCATGTGTCAAATAGCTTCCTCTCTCTGTGGTCCCCCTAATACACAATGGATCAGTCTAACGATCAGGAATTATAATTATTTTTCTATTTAACTTCAATAGCCAAGGTGTTTCAAAATGTTACATACTGTATATCTCCCTTGTTCATGGCTGACAAGTAAGGAACCTTAAGAGGATTCAAAGATTTATGCAACCACCGAAACATGTTGGCTAGATTAAAAGAAAGCTATTTTACCACGCATGATTGTTCAATCAATTAATTCTTTTAGTGCTGCAATATACTATATTTCCCAAGTGTTTACCCAAAGTCCACCATTGATCAGCAGGTACCTGAGACCTAAGGAGCAGTCTATTAACTACTCTTATGTCCCACAACTGACTTTTTACCTGCAGCTATACCTGTAAGAGTAACCACCTTAAATATAACATCACTCTCAACCCTTTTTTAGATTTTAAACATTATAAGCAGCTTATAGGTTTGTTTAATTTTCTTGTGAACTTCTGAAGCAACAGTGAATAATGAACGTCTTGGCTCAATTGAACTAAATAATGCAGATATATAAATGGAGTTTAAAATGCGTAGAGGATAAGCATAAAAATGAATACTTCTGTTTAAAATGCAGTAAACTAAGATCTGTCAAGTGTAAACACATTTTGAACATAAGTTTAACAAAACATACAGAAACCTTATAAAAGACAGAAAAATGATCATCAGCAAACCCTGCATTTTACAGTTTTGTTTCAGGGAATTAGAGTTCATGAAGTGTGACTGAAAAGAAGACCACTGTTGAGCGCTTTCCACATTTAACTCTTTTGGACAGCAAGTTTATAGTTGGGACTTCCTCTCAAGAGAGAAGAGATGAAAGGTCCTCACATAATTACATAATGCCATGACTATTTTAGGACATGTAGGCATACAATGTAATTATCCAAGCTGCTTTGTAGAATTCCTGTTTGGAAGTGGGATTTTATTGGCTAGTAGTTTTTCTTTCTTGTCTGGGTAATTCTAGAAGAATTTGGGGTGTTCTATTCAGGGGCCAGGTGCACAGCAATTATGAAAAAGGGAATATGAACTTGCATTGTTTTCTTAATTTTGTCTTAAGCCCTGTGGTTTGCGTGCCTTTAACCTGCAGAAATTCACCAACTGCAATGATTTATACCATTTATCTGCTATTGGCACTAAGAGTGTAAAGAAATATCTAAAAAATAAACAAATAAATAAAGCACTTGAAACATATTATACTATCAATTGAACCACTTTATGGAGCTTCTTAGTGACCTCAAATGGCATTGGCTAGTCTGTGAGGAAAATTCCCCAAACTCAATTAAAATATGATATAGCTTCACTTTTTCCTTGATTTGTGCCCACCTCCCCTCCCTCTGAATACCTGTCCACTGGCCCAAATATACATGTTGGTATCCCATAGCTAGTAGGCCAGAGAGCAAATAGGCCCTTTGCAAATACTAACACCAGCTCAAATGGTAGTCAAAACCAACTTGTTCTTTTGGGACGATGGGGTGCAAAAAGAGCTTGGCAAAAGTCTCTGCATCACCATCTTAAGAGCTTTTCTGCACTGGCATTTGTTTCAGTTTTTTTCAGCTCAAAGTGGCTTCAAGCATGTCAGAAGCACTTTCAAACTAATTTTGAAGGATCTTGAAAATATCATAAACACCTACAGAATGCATCTGAAAGCATGTCTTTTTTATCCTTCTTCTTGTCATGAAGATGAACCGGAACGGAGTGAACAAGCCTTTTTTTCCCTACCCTACCCACCACCAGCCCTGAGGTGATAGCTCAAAATAACTGCAAGGAAGAAGATGTACACATCAAGAGACATCACATAAGGTAAGTCCTTACAGCAGCATTATGATGGGGAAAAAAAACATAGCCTTTGGAGTCACTTTAAATGACGAGCTACTTCAGGGGTTGGAACTGTTAAAAACATTGAAAGAAAATCTCTGCCCGTTAAACTCCCAGTTCCACAAGGAGACTGTTTAAGCATAAAATATCTGCTGCTATACAATGCAAATAACATTTTTAATTGAGCCCTATAATCCCCTTTAAAAAAAAAAAAAATTCTGATAAGATTTTGAAATGAACGCAGTCACAATAAAAAGAGAGCTTAATTTGTACTGAAACAAAATGGTTCCAGTGGAAAGAATGTAAGAAATGCTGAGATCTACTCATGGGAACATACAGTATGTTAAAAATGAATACTAAAGTAGATTGATTGTAGTTATTACACATTTTCATGTGTGCCCTGATCTGCAGATATTTGTTTTATCATGCTCCGATTACTACTGATTTGTATTTCCACAAAAAATGTATAAATACATGTTATTTGGTTGCACATATCTACTAGCTTATCACTGTCCCGGAGTAGAACTGAAGCCAAACCTTTTTTTTTTTTGTTTCGGATAAAATAAGGGAGGGTTATAAACCCTTTTAGGTTTTCTGCCATCTGTGTCCTATTAGGGAGATTTTCCTTTACTTTCTGTTAGATAGCCACAACAGGAAGTGACAGTAAATTCCTCCAAAGTGAGGGATATCCCTGGTGGCCAGCAGGGTCACCAGAACATGTGCCCTCGATTGAAGATTTCCCATCTATACCTGTTCTGATTCCAACCCAAAATTCTACATTTGATTTTACTTTCACTAATAATGCACCAGGACAAATAGAGACGGTGGATCCCCATAATGGGGACACAGGCAACAATTAAACATGACAGGTGTTCTAATCCTTCTCTACTCTATCCAAAACTATAAAAAGGGTTTTGGCTTCAGCTGCACTTTAATTTTCCTACCTGCCTGTTTTTAATTCTTCAAGGTGCTCTGTGACTAATTTTACTTTAATGGAATGTGAACACAGACATCAGATGTAGCGTGCAAGGGTTTGGCATCAGTACCTGTCTTATGTTGGTTAGCAGAACTGATAGCCTTACATACATGTCTGGTCTTTCATATTCCAATGACACCAAGCTAAAATTTTCCATCATACTAACTGAAGCTCAACTTAAATGCAAAGAACTGTCTGTGTACTCATCAAAAACAATACTTAAAAATCTAAAAGGTTTACAGGAAAAAAATACATCATGAACATAACAGATATTAACAGAGCACATCAGTTAGGAAATGTGAGGAAAGTATTTTTAAATACTGCAGTGACATATTTTTGCTGTTGCTATTAAGTTCCGATTGAAGGGTTATATTCATGGTTTCAACATTTTAAGTATCTGCAGTTTAACTTGATGATATCATTACCAGTTCTCTCTGGAATTTCAGGAATCAGCAAAATCTAGGGATACAACTATTATTAAAAAGTGGAAATATTACAAAAAGGAGACATGGATTTCTAGAAAAATAAGTGAAGACAGCCATACTCATATGCCACAATATTCAGAGATTTAACCTGATCTATCGGCTGCCATGTAGGTCATTGTGACAGAGCCCCAGATAAAATTCTAAACTATACAATGAATGAAACCAACCATTTGAATATGAGGTAGCTGATGGCCTATCTGTCATTTCAGCCCTTTGGTAACAAAGCTTTGGCACATCTATTTTATCAGGAGGTAACTATAGGTATAATACAGTGGTGTAAAACATTTCTGTCCATGTGTGTACTCTCCTCTACATGGCAATACATACTGATGGCATGAAAACTTATTTGAGGAAGTTTACAAAATATGGGAAATCAGTAGCATGTACTCGGCTTCATAAGTATTAATAACACAAGGAGTTTCTTTGATGAAGTATACTGATAATAAAGCTGCCTGCACCTTTCTTGTAGAAACCATTCAGCTTTTTATTACAAATGTTATAGTAGAATAGGCAATACTCCAAGTAGAGCAGCACTAACGCCTAACTTCAAGCTCATAATAAATACATTCTTTACCAGTTTACATTATTAGATATAGGTCAAAAAATATATAAAATGATTAACCAGAATTTCAACAGACACCGAAGATGGTTTAATGCTTACCTAAGTAGTCCAATCCAAGCCTTTTACAAGAATCCATGCATGCTTGTATGGTATTCTTATACCCATAATCCCCTGGCCATAACTTAGTGGTGACCCACAAGTCTTCTCTCTTCACCCCACTTTCAGTTATTGCTTTACCAACTTGTTCTTCATTGCCGTATCTCTTGGCGGTGTCAATATGCCGGATGCCACAATTTTGCAGTGCATAGAGCAGTGCACTGTGGGAATAACCTCCTTGATGTGACAGTCCTATGGGACAGAAACAATTTAATGTAATAGTTAATAAATGTATAAATTCAGTCCTCAATGTTTTTTATTTATCCGCACTAAGTACATTTAACTTAAATTTATACACTGCCTCTTTGTGTTGAAAGCAGGCACCATTTTGTGCCTGCACAGAGTGGTTACTAAGCTCACTGTGCCTTCACTATGCCCAGAGTAACCCTATGTAAATAAAACATAATCACACCCGCTTCATGTACCACATACAAGGCCACACACTGTATCTCATTAGGGCTAAAAATAACTTTATTGTTCAAGTTCCAGCATGAATACGGACAATACAACTCACTTCTTTCTCTTAAGCAGGAGAGAGAGGAGTGGGTTGGAGTAGCAGTGTTAATGCTGGAACTAATTATTATTATTATTATTATACAGGCAGGGCCGGATTTCCCACAAAGCCACCAAGGCCTGGCCTTGGGGCAGCAGTTTGTAGAGGGGCAGCCAGGGCCGGATTTCCCACAAGGCCAACCAAGGCCTGGCCTTGGGGCAGCAGGGAGTAGAGGGGCAGCAGGGGTGTGGAATTCCTATCTCCCAATGCCCGGGCGCGTAGTTGTTTTCTACATTTAGCCCTGCTTTGGGCAAGCAGAGCTAAATGTACAGCGAGGAAGCCACCGCTTGTTCTGTACAAGTGATCTCAGCGACATTGTATGCAGCCTGCAGGTCTGCCATTCTTCATGGGGGGTTGGTGGGTAGGGGGGCGCATTGAGGAACCTGGCCTTGGGGCAGCAGAGAGCGTAAATCCGGTCCTGTATACATGTAAATGTTTTATCTGGAGTTGAGCTTTAATGCTAACGCCACTACAGAAAGTGTTACTGGTAATGCATTATTATACAAGATTTATATAGTGCCAACAATTTGCTCAGCGTATAACAAAATGGTGGAGACAGTACATTTACAATACAATTTACAATACAATACAGTTTCAGAACAATAGGGTTGGGAGGGCCCTGCTTGTGAGAGCTTACAATCTAGTAGGAGGGGGTAGTGATACAAAAGGTAATATTTATTTGGACTGAGTTATTGGAGGAAGTAAAAGGCAGTTATGTTGAGATGAGATAGGCTTCCCTGAAGAGATGGGTTTTTATGGATTGCCTAAAGGTGGGCAGCGTAGGAGATAGGCGGACAGAATGGGGTAAGGAGTTCCAGAGGATGGGGGACACTCTGGAGAAGTCCTGAAGGCGAAGCGTGGGAGGAGGTAATTAGAGAGCTAGAGAGCAGGAGGTCTTAAGAGGAGCGGAGAGGACAATTTGGGTGATATCTTGAGATGAGGTCAGTGATGTAGGTTGGGGCGGAGTTGTAGATGGCTTTGTATATTTATTGTTAGTATTTTGAATTGTATTTGTTAGGCAAATGGGAGCCAGTGGAGGGATTGGCAGAGAGGGGCGGCAGACACGTAACGGTTGGTAAGGTGGATGAGTTTGGCAGCAGCATTCATGATAGACTGAAGGGGGGAAAAAGTTATTTTTGCCCAACAAAGATACAGTTTGTGGCTTTGTATGTGCTACGTTAATCTGCTGGGGGGGGGGTGACGGATCCTAGAGGTGCCGGCTCCTGTGGCTGTATGGAAGGGGTAGAGAGGCCGGAGTACTATACAAGCCGTAAGTAAACCTGCATAGGCACACCCACATAATACCACAGTGCAATATGAGTGCATCTAATTGGTCACTTACACTGTATTGCCAGACATGTACTTAAAGGAAGACCCAGAGACTGCTAGAAAAGTATAAGAGGCTCCTGGGGCACAGTGAAAATTGAGTGAACATAGCTGAGAAAACTCGAGAACTGTGTTTGGCAGGCAATGGTGTCAAAACCTAACGTGTGACCGGCAGACATTTTTTTTGTTAATTTTGGATACAGTAAGGAAAGGGAGAGGGCAGAGAAGGGAATCTCTTTCAGATTGTATTACTGTCTGTGCCCCCTCCGGGTAAATCCACCCCTCTATATATCATGGTGACCCTCACTGAGACAGAAAGTCAATGGAAACCCAAAGCTTTAGCGTTGTCACCAGAGCAAGAAGTGAGGGAAAATCCTCTAACTGGGCCACGTGTTCCTATGACAATGGTCTAAGATGGGAATTCTGTTCACTTTAGAGAGATGTTCTTTCATTTTCTGTATTTCCAGGACAAAAAGTGAAGGGAAATCTCCCCAACGGGACAGCAAAAAAACCTGATTTCCAAGTTTTGACCCTATACTATTGAATCTAAAAAAACACTTTAAGGTCAGTGTCATCTGTATGTTTAGTGTTACCAGCTGTGTGAGTAAAAATGTGGATGGAGGCATATAAAGCACAATACACCATCAGCAAATCAAATATTAATCAATAGGTAATGTCTTACTTACTGCAACTCTTCCAGGCAGGTACACAGAAAAGCATATCCAGTCCAGAGGGACTCATAACTATTAACATATCAAACACACTAAATAATCGTGCCTGAGGTTTTATTCTGGCAAGAAAAGATTTCAACCGTTCAAATGGGAATTATGTAACTCTCCATCTTATATTCTCAGAGACACATTCTCAGTATGGAGGGTGGAACTTCGCTTGATAGGAGACAAGAGCTGCTGCTTCTCAGAGACCAAACATATAATACCCGGAGTTGGATGAATGAACAGCATTCACAGAGTCTGCCAATGGGCACAGACCCTTCTTGTGTGCTAATGACTCTGGCAGAACAATCAGGGCAGAAAACCCTCTCAATGCTAACTTGTCAGGATACAGCAGCAAGAAAAAGTGCCAAGATTCTACCCCTAAGATGACAGCATGGTAACCCGCTTCTAATACACTACACCAAAGCATTAAGGGTGTCTGCAAGTTACACAAAATTGTTCATATTATATTAAAGCTAAACTCTAGACACATACAAAGGACATAAATTAAGGCAGGCCTATAATCATCAATACATCAGTATATGTATATTTAAAAGGCAGTACCTGAATTTGCCCTTGTAACAGGCTTGTACAGGGACTTGCAGTCCCTATACAGCAGGGCTGGGGTGTAAGAGCAAGAAGCAGTACAAGGAACCAATTCGTTTTTGTGCTGGCGAGAAGCATGTTGTTAGGAAGAGAAGAGCTCATCACTGTGCTATTGCTCCTTTAAAGGAGAACTATGAGGTGAGTGCTTTTCACTCACCTCATAGTTCTAGCCGACCTGTGACAATGAGACTGTCACAGGTCGGCTCAGTAGATCGGGAAGTGAGCGAACACATAACGGGTTCGCTCACCTCTCGATCCTGTCATGGCTCTCTGCCGTGACAGGGGGAGGGGCTGGATTCTCCTCTCCCCGCTCCGATCTGCCAGCGCTGACTGGCGGAACGGACGGGGGAGGGGGCGGGTACAGCTGGCTCTGCCTCTAGATAGGCAGAGCCAGCTGTCATTCACGCAGCTGGGCGGATCCCGTCGTCTAAGTCGGGATCCGCTCCGGCGTCTCAGTATACTGCGAGCTGTAGCTTATACTGAGCTTAGGGTAATGGGAGGACGCTAGTTTGTGTCCTCCCGTTACCCTAAGGAGAACTATGGGGGAAAACACTGACCCCATAGTTCTCCTTTAACTGTCCAGTAACAGTCTGAGGGCAATGCGGGATGACCTGGGCTCAGAGAAAGCCTTATTCACATCAGCAGCCACGCTGAACCACACGGCTGCTGGTGTGCGTGTGCCTGTACAGTGCTGATGCCCTCGATTGAACTGCATCACACTCTTTTTTTTCTTAGAACTTTATTGAAATATTACAAGTGAAATTTCATTAAAGGAGAATTATGGGGTTAAATCTTTTCCCCATAGTTCTCCTTGGGGAAACGGGAGGACACAAACTAGCGTCCTCCCGCCACCCTAGGCTCAGTATACCGCGAGCTCCTGCTCGCGGTATGCTGAGACGCCGCAGCTGAAGCGGATCCCGACAATTATGTCTGGATCCGGACAGCTGCGTGACTGACAGCAGGCTCTGACTATCTAAAGGCAGAGCCAGCTGTACCCGCCCCCTCCCACGTCCGTTCCGCCAGTCAGCGCTGGCGGATTGGACCCCGGAGGGGGGAATCCAGCCCCTCCCCTGTTACGGCAGAGAGCCGTGACAGGATCGAGAAGTGAGCGAACGCCGGTATGTGTTCGCTCACTTCCCGATCTACTGAGCCGACCTGTGACAGTCTCATTGTCACAGGTCGGCTAGAACTATGAGGTGAGTGAAAAGCACTCACATCATAATTCTCCTTTAAGTTCTATGGGCTCACTGCGGTGTGCTTAAAAAAGTACTGCATATTGTACCTTGTTAGGCGCACACCACTGTAATGCAATGGTGTGAACTGTCTTGTGCCAGGACCCATCATCACTGGAAGACAGTACAGGAGGTAGTAGATGTGTGTCATAATCTGAAAGTATGCATAGCATACTTGCATATCAAGGCAAAAGCTCACCCTTCACCAACAAATTTTACTTCTGCTTTAAATGACTGAAAGACAAAAATAGAATTCAAAGAGAGAAACAAGAAACAGCAGTGGTAGAAAGAGTATTATATGAATCCTTAGCATCATGTCTTCATTTGTATTGCGATTGTAATGTCTTCCTTATATTGTAAAGCGCTGCACAAACTGTTGGCGCTATATAAATCCTGTATAATAATAATAATAAGCAACAGGCAGGGCTCACGGAAATGTACCACCGGACTTTTTCAATACAAAGTGCATTTAATAAAATCGACCAATCAGACTGCATTTTTAATATTCTTTCTTTTCCAATATGAAATATCAACGGTAATTTTATGTGCCACGCTCAGGCACACAGATGTACTTTTCCAGTTCTCAACACTAAAAAGGATTTAATACGTTATTGTGTAACTGAAAACTTTGGTTTAAGACAACCTATATGGAAATATAGCATTCAATATAGTGCATATAAAACAGAAATGATTCATTTTTCAGAAAAATTAATCCTTGCTTTATCGTAGAATAAGAGTGCTGTCTTCTCTTTACCTAGTTAG